GCTCTAATTATAGGTGCATTACCTCTTTGCGCCTCACAGGTAAAGTCTACGCAAAAGTGCCGTGAAGCAGTTGACCTCAAGATCCAAGAAGAGCAGTGTGGCTTCCGGCTCCGTCAAAGCACCTCTGACCATATATTTGCCCTACGCCAGATTGTTGAGAAATCGTGGGAGTATGCTTATCCGGTGCACTGTGTTTTGTGGACCTATAAAAAGCCTATGACCTGATCCCGCGCAACAGTCTGTGGACATGCCTTCCAGCATACGGGATTGATGGCAAGTTGCTAAGGACCATCCAATCTCTGTATTCTGATATCAGGTGCTGCGTCAGAGTAAATCGCGTTAATTTGAAACCATTCAACGATCGCACTGGTCCCCGCCAAGGCTGCGTCCTGACCTCTATCCTGTTTGTGTTCTACATGGATAGAATAGTCAGGAGCTGCCAAGGCGATGAGGGTATCGGTGTATGAGATGTGAAAACAAGAAGGTTGCTGCCTTTAAACGGCCCTATTTTGTTGGCATCTTCTGAAGCTGATCTTCAGTGCTCCCTAGAAATGTTCGCAGCCGAGTGCTTCCTAGCCGACATGCGTGTGAATGCACCTAAAACGAAACGACTAGTGTTTTTTCGTTCTCCAGTCCGTTGCTCTCTTCAGATTAACGGAGAAGCCGTGGAGCAGGTAGAGATGTTCAACTATCTCAAAGTCATGCTTACTAGTGATGGAAAATTATAGGAAGTGATCTGCGCACAGAATGGAATTGCTAGTGGCGTTCTAAGTGAACTAGCCCGAACCGTTGTTACCATAGAATAGCTGAATCCGGAGATTAAGCTCTCAGTGTTCAAGTCGATCTTCGTCCCCCATGCTTACCTACGGTCATGAGTCGTAGATCATGACTGAAAAATTTCGATCCCCAAGGTAAGGAGCTGAAATGGACTTCCTTAGAGGAGTCGCTGGCAGACGTGTCTTGACATTGTCCGGAATAAAGGCATCCACGAGAGCCTAGGCATGCAGCTGCTGCTTCTTCAGATTGAGAAGTCACAGATGCGATGGTTTTGGCATTTGTTATGAATA